TCCTTATAATGTCGTTTATGATTTTTATACAAGTCCAGTTCTTTTGTAGAGCCTCTAAAGTTTGTGACAGTAATAGTCAAAGTTCAGGTGTAAACTCAGGGGGTAGAGAAAGAGGAGAAAACAGATCTTTTTTTTTCATGAAGTTCAGTGTTGTAGAGTGAAATCAGTTCTTCAATGGTGAATAAACTCTGAATGTCTATGAAAGAGTCAATGCTACTGGAGAGAGAATTATTAATAGAGAATTGTTAATAAAGAGAGTTTCATAGGTAAGCGGGGTTACACCAGAGCAGCAAATCAGGTTTCAAATGTTTCCTTTAGACTGAGTAGCAACACCAATATGCTGCTGAAATCCAAACTCTCAAGGTAAGATACAAAATCTCTGATGAGACAGTTATTAATACTGTGATAGATGTGAGGCAGGCAGCAAAATCATTTGGGAAATGATTGTTGAGTTTAGGGAAATGGTAGACAGTTGAAATAATGCTAGGAGTAGGAACAGACATTTAACACACAGTAGATTCAAAAGAACTGACACAGGAGCAGAGACTAGTATGACTTTTCACCTCTCATGATAGATGAGCCAGTACTAGTCCCCGGCCAGTACTACAGGATTGAAAGATGTTAACAAACCCAGGAGGAGTGGATTAATTCAACTGAGACAAGTCAGTGGGCATTGCTAAGTCTCAGTTGACCAGAGAAAGTCTAGCTTACAGTTGGTAAAGAGATCATAGAAGATATGTCCCTTGCTCTTAAGTGAGTGGGTGTTAGGTAGATGGAAGTTGAGAGTGATGGTGTCATATTTAGCAGCAAAAAAAAGAGGTGCATCATCCTACTGAGAACAACTGAACAGTCAATTAAGACGTGACACAAATGTATAAAGTTACCAATGAGAAAGTCCAGTCATCTGTTCACAGTCATCTCCATGCTGCTCTTTGTTCGACCAGTGGATTGTCCAACATGGATCTGATGTTTGGCTGCATGATTTCAGTCTGACTGGGTCATTCATAAAGTATTCTGTTCCAGCTGCTGGAGGACAATATCATCCTTTTTGTAAAGAATGAGCTGAAGAAGATCCAGAAGGTTCTGAGTCCAGATTACCCAGAATGCGTAGAGAATAAGATTGTGAATGAGGAGGTTTTGAAGGGTGAGGATGATGAGCAGCAGAGCAGCAGAGAAGCATTTGTGAAGATCACATTGCACTTCCTAAGGAAACTGAAGCAGGAGGAGCTGGCTGACCGTCTGCAGAGCAGTAAGACAATTTCTCTAGATATTTAAGCTGCTGGATGAATGGAACATTTAGTAATGTCTCATTAATGTTAACAAAAATATTACACATGCATATTTTGGGGCACAAATAGTCATATGCATTTCATTTCATTGTTTTCTGTTTTTTTTTTTATTGTTTTCAGAACATGTTGCAGCAATTTGTAAGTGTAAACTTAAAACGAAGTTGAAGAAGAAGTTCCAGTGTGTGTTTGAGGGGATTGCTAAAGAAGGAAACCCAACCCTTCTGAATCAGATCTACACAGAGCTCTACATCACAGAGGGAGGAACTGCAGAGGTCAATGATGAACATGAGGTCAGAAAGACTGAAACAGCATGCTGGAAACCAGATAGACCAGAAACAACAATCAGACAAGAAGACATCTTTAAAGCCTCAACTGGAAGAGATGAACCAATCAGAACAGTGCTGACAAAGGGAGTGGCTGGCATTGGGAAAACAGTCTTAACAAAGAAATACACCCTCGACTGGGCTGAAGACAAAGCCGACCAGGACATCCAGTTCATATTTCCATTCCCTTTCAGGGAAATGAATATACTAAAAGAGAAAAAGTTCAGCCTGGTGGAACTTGTTCATCACTTCTTTACTGAAACCAAAGAAGCAGGAATCTGCAGCTTTGAAGACTTCCAGGTTGTGTTCATTTTTGATGGTCTAGATGAGTGTCAACTGCCTCTGGACTTCCACAAAACTGAAATCCTAACTGACCCTAGAAAGTCCACCTCAGTGGATGTGCTACTGACCAACCTCATCAGGGGGAAACTGCTTCCCTCTGCTCACCTCTGGATAACCACACGGCCTGCAGCAGCCAGTCAGATCCCTCCTGACTGTGTTGACATGGTGACAGAGGTCAGAGGGTTCACTGACCCACAGAAGGAGGAGTACTTCATGAAGAGATTCAGAGATAAGGAGCAGGCCAGCAGGATCATCTCCCACATCAAGACCTCACGAAGCCTCCACATCATGTGCCACATCCCAGTCTTCTGCTGGATCACAGCTACAGTTCTGGAGGATGTGCTGAAAACCAGAGAGGGAGGACAGCTACCCAAGACCCTGACTGAGATGTACATCCACTTCCTGGTGGTTCAGGCCAAAGTGACGAAGGTCAAGTATGATGGAGGAGCTGAGACAGATCCACACTGGAGTCCAGAGAGCAGGAAGATGATTAAGTCTCTGGGAAAACTGTCTTTTCATCAGCTGCAGAAAGGAAACCTGATCTTCTATGAATCAGACCTGACAGAGTGTGACATCGATATCAGAGCAGCCTCAGTGTACTCAGGAGTGTTCACACAGATCTTTAAAGAGAAGAGAGGACTGTACCGGGACAAGGTGTTCTGCTTCATCCATCTGAGTGTTCAGGAGTTTCTGGCTGCTCTTCATGTCCATCTGACCTTCATCAACTCTGGAGTCAATCTGCTGGAAAAACAACAACCAACCTCCCAGAAGTCTTTCTTTTTTAAAAAGAAAAGTAGTATAAAGTATCTCCACCAGAGTGCTGTGAACAAGGCCTTACAGAGTCCAAATGGACACCTGGACTTGTTCCTCCGTTTCCTTCTGGGTCTTTCATTGCAGACCAATCAGGCTCTCCTACGAGGTCTGCTGACACAGACAGGAAGTATCTCACAGACCAGTCATGAAACAGTCGAGTACATCAAGAAGAAGCTCAGTGAGAATCTGTCTGCAGAGAAAAGCATCAATCTGTTCCACTGTCTGAATGAACTGAACGATTATTCGCTAGTGAAGGAGATCCAACAGTTCTTGAGTTCAGGAAGTCTCTCCACAGATAAACTGTCTCCTGCTCAGTGGTCAGCTATGGTCTTCATCTTACTGTCATCAGAAAAAGATCTGGATGTGTTTGACCTGAAGAAATACTCTGTTTCAGAGGAGGCTTTTCTGAGGCTGCTGCCAGTGGTCAAAACTTCCAACAAAGCTCTGTAAGTGAATATATACTCATCACTATATTTAAAAATGGTTGATTTCACAAATGATTGAAAATAGAACAGTCATATATTAAATGATTTCCTGTTTGCTTCCCTCATAGATCAGGTCAACCGATATCTCTAAATTACTTTTTTAAAATTGAAAGAAACTCCTAGGTTTTTTTGTAGTTCTGTGATTTTGTAATAATCCAAAGTTTTCAAGACTGTATGCATTTCTGTTAATGTATAATGTAAAATTACGTTTTATTCTGACACAGTATTGTTAGATTATATCTTAACATTCAGATAGCACAAATTTTTACGACAACCCACATTTAGCACCCCCCAAAAAAACCCCCCAAAAACAAAACAAAAGAAAGATGAACATGGGACCCTTTTCTGAATTACAATTAATCCAATTTCTGTCCCACCGTCCTACCTAAAAATAAAAACAACATTTCCAAAATGTACAGAAGCCAGTTACAATGCAAGTGGATGATTTGTTTTGTTTTTTTGTTGGTTTGTTTAAATTGTGTGTGTTTGTGTGTGTGTAAGAGAGAGAGAGAGAGAGAGAGAGAGAGAGATTTTTACTTTTTGAACATAGACATAAGATAATTGTTGTTGAGTCCTTAGCGGTCAGGGAGCATTGAACTGTTTGATGCCTCAAAGAAGGAAAGAAATTAAGAAAAAATTACAAAAATAATTTTGACATTGTTGATCAAGACTGCTTAAAAAATTGCTAAATCTAATAATACGTCAGTGTACTGTCATTGCACTAAAACAGTGTTTTCAGTTTATCTTTTATTTTTCAGACTGAGTGGCTGTAACCTCTCAAAGAAAAGCTGTGAAGCTCTGTCCTCAATTCTCAACTCCCAGTCCTCTAGTCTGAAAGAGTTGGACCTAAGTAACAACGACCTGCAGGATTCAAGAGTGAAGTTTCCATACTCTAAACTGACAACTCTCCGGTCAGATCAATATATATTGTTTTCTTATCAGTTAACCCTCCTATTCTCCTCAAATATTACTATCACGTTTTACCATGGGGGTTATTTACCTCTACAAAATGGTTTACATACAATTGTTGACCAATTGTTTGCGTCAGGCACTTTGTTTATTTATTGAATACATTAGTATTCTCTTGATAATAAAATTCTAGTGCCACCATCAAGCCATGAAGTCAAACTTTTAATTTAGAATAAATGTATCTTGAAAAGTTTGAATTGAGAACTTTTCAAAATTACTGCCAACATTAATAACCACAAGTAGATGAACCCTGTTGGTCTTTGGTGATGACATGACCTTTTTCTAGCACCACCATCAGGTCAAATGTTTAATTCTAGATATGTTTCTTTCTCGTGGTGTTTACATCCATGCCCTTTAGAATGAATCTTGTTAATTTTTGCTCTAGTACCATGACATCACTTTCAATCACCCCTCCTCTTTTCTTATACAGGCCTGGGACTGGCAATGGTAGAGTTGAAGTTTTTTTTTTTATTAATTAGTTATGTTTTGTTTGTTTTTGCTGTTTGTTTAGAGGGGGTGGTACATATTTCATGTGAAATTCAACCATTTGTGAAACAGAAAATAATAAGAACATAGTCAGAACATGGAACAGTTCTTGTCCAACAGCCAAATTTTTTCTCTTCACTACTGTACACAGGATTTGAAGAGAGTGTGTGCATGCTCCTTGCAGACATATTTCTTGCATTGTGCCTAGGTCATGCTAGTCTTAGAATCATTCCTGGTGGGACAGCCCTGGCACCTGCCATGTTTCCTGCCCGTGGTTTGTAGTATTCAAAAGTAGAATGGGAGGGAGAGCCTTCAGTTTTGAATCCCCTCTTCTATGGAACCAGCTTCTATTTTGGATTTGGGAGACAGACACTATCTCTACTTTTGAAATTAGGTTTCAAACTTTCCTTTTTGCTAAATCATATAGTTAGGGCTAGATCAGGTGACCCTGAATTTTTTATCTTGTCTTCCTTATCTCAGGGGGGTCATATGATTGTTGGGTTTTTCTCTGTATGTATTATTGTAGGGTCTACCTTACAACATAAAGCACCTTGAGGTGACTGTGACTTATATCAGTGTTCTTTGTGTTATAAATCTGCAGACTGAGTCACTGTAACCTTGCAGAGACAGCCTGTGAAGCTCTGTCATCAGTTCTTAGCATGCGGTTCTCTAGTTTGAGAGAGCTGGACCTGAGTAACAACAACGTGAAGGATTTGGGATTGAAGCTTCTGTCTGTTGGTCTGGAGAGTCCATACTGCAAACTTGAAACTCTCAGGTCAGATCAAGATGTGCTCTGCTCTTTTTTTTCTTTTGCATTTTGTTTGTATAACTTAATAAAAATAACAAGATTTTCTGCCCTAGTTTTATAATCGTGAAAATTTTAATTTAGTTTTATTTACACAGTCCCAAACAATATTTAATCCTTAAATGATCCTGGATGCATTTTGTTCCATTTAATGTTTTTTTGTTTGTTTAATTTATTATGCTATTTTACCTGTGCTCAGTGAATATAGCTCACATTTCCTTCCACTGCCCAACTCGGTTGACATTGGTAGCGCCCCATCTACGTTATGGACTATGTGAGGAGAGCCCTGCTTTTCCTGCCTGAGTTACCTGAATCTTTTTACTTAAGCATTTACTGAACCTTATCAGTCAGTCTTATCTAATCTGACACAGGACTCATGGGCTGTTTGTCCTTACTCGCACCAACATCACCTACATGTTAAAGCAGATGGTTAAACCTCCCTGAACAAGATTTTGTTGGCGGTCTCTTTCTAGTTGTAAGACGTTTTTCCTCCTTCTTGTGACCAATTGCTGCTGACAGGGGACCATCTGAGAGTTGTGGTTCTTTCTCTTATATTGTAGTGTTATCTCTGCTATAAAAAGTTAGGACATTTTTATAAATGTAGGTAAATTAAATTGAGGGGATGGAGCTCACTTTCTCTGGGAAGAAAATAAAACACTTTTTTTTGGTATGTACCTGCAGTCTGTCAGGCTGTTTGATCACAGTGGACGGATGTGCTTCTCTGGAATCTGCCCTGAGTTCTTCCCACTCCCATTTGAGAAAGTTGGACCTGAGCTACAATCATCCAGGGGATTTGGGAATGAAGCTGTTGTTACCTGAACAGAAGAATCCATCCTGGAAACTGGAAACTCTCAGGTATGGAGAAAAGGTCTGGTACTGGAGGAAGACATTAAAACCATTGTTTTTCTTGTGGCATTACTGTAAAGTGTAGAAGTAAATTTAAATCTAATTTGATATACAAAGAGGTGTTTACAAAGGTTATAAAGCTAGTTATATAGCTATTTGGTGGTTACGTGTTTTGATATTTACATGTTTACATGTTTGAATGTTTAGACATGCATGTTCAAACCAGTAATAAGTATGTGTTATATCTACCTGGTTGTTTTCCCTGTTTTGATCTGAGTATAAGATTTCCTGGCTTCTGAGAGGCCAGTGAAGTATTCATGAGGGCGGCACATAGGAAGTGTGGGTTGTTGTTGCGGTGTGCTGAGAGTAAAGTGGCTGCTAAAAAGTTATCCGTCTCCATCTTGCTGTTCCTAATTATTCAGAGAGATTCCAAACCATCTAGTGAACCCTCACGTTACATTACCAATAAGTTTGATGTGTCACATGATCCTCTTCCTATTGAAAAAACAAAAGCTGCATCCAAGATGGCCGACTTCTAAATGGCCACCATGGTCACCACCCACTTGAGAAGTTTGCCCCCTCACAGATAATAATGTACCACAAACAGGACTTTAATATCCCCAACCATTCCCATGTTAATACGGTGTATCCATATAAATGGCCCACCCTGTACAATTTACGACTACGTTAAGTCATTCACTAGTGTCTTTGCAGTTGTTTTGGGATCTTTGGACATATCTATAACTATATGTCTTCCCACAGTCTTTACATTTTTCACTTTGTTCCCCTGCCTGGCTTGTTCCATATAATAATAATAATAATAATAATAATAATAATAATGGATTAGATTTATATAGCACTTTTCAAGGCACCCAAAGCGCTTTACAATGCCACTATTCATTCACTCACTGGTGGAGGCTCTCTTTAAATATGCCCCGTATGCTCTCTTTAAATTTCTTAATACTTATGCTTGGGACTTGGAAACACTGGTGATTGTGTATATGGACCTTCTGCTTGGTGAGAATCAACAACTCTCTTTGTTTTGTTTTGTTTTGTTTGGGGGAGGGGAGTGGCATTTGAAAGATACTGGTTCACAGATAGCCACATATTTCTGAAAATGTTGGACTGTTCCTTTATCACTGTCTAGCAGTATCAGTGTATGATGATGTAATGTCCTCGTGTGCATGCTGAAAGAGACTGTGCTGGTCTGATCCCCCTCCTCCTTTCAGGGTGGAGCCTGCTGGAGTCCGATGGTTGAGACCAGGTCTGAGGAAGTGTAAGTGCGTTTTTAATGTGATTCATGAAAACAAAGCAGCACACATTCAACCATCTTCAAACTGTCACATCACTCATTCACCTCTCTGATGTCAGAAGTCATCATAGTGTCAATCAATCAACAGATGATAACAATAACTGCAACTGGATTGTGTTTGTTCTCTCCATCAGATTCCTGTCAACTCACAATAGATACAAACACAGTACACACAAACCTCAAACTGTCTGACAACAAAAGAAAGGTGACACATGTGGAGGAGGTTCATTTATATCCTGATCATCCAGACAGATTTGATGTTCATCCTCAGCTGCTGTGTAGAAATGGCCTGACTGGCCGCTGTTACTGGGAGGTTGAGTGGAAAGGAGATGTTGACATATCAGTGACTTATAGAAAAATCCGAAGGAAAAGTGGCAGTGATAACTGTTCATTTGGGTGGAATGATCAATCCTGGAGTCTCAGCTGCTCCGATGATGGTTACTCTGTCTGTCACAATAACAGAGAAACATCCATATCATCCTCCTCCTTCTCCTCCTCCTCAGTCTCTAACAGAGTAGCAGTGTATGTGGACTGTCCTGCTGGCACTCTGTCCTTCTACAGAGTCTCCTCTGACACCCTGATCCACCTCCATACCTTCAACACCACATTCACAGAACCTCTTTGTCCTGGATTTAGAGTGTGGTTTCCTGGTTCCTCAGTGTTTGTTTGCAGAGAATAATCTAAAGAGTGTACTCGTGCCTCTTTAGAGAAACACTTTGACTGTTGAACAGATAGTCTGTACATGTCTGTCTGTTTCACTCAGAAACACGTTTTCAGATTCATGGATAAAGATGGAAGCTTTGATTATTCCCAGATCCGCATGTTTTTCTGTTGTTTTTCTTTTTCCACTCAAAGCTTCACACTGAATATCAGTATGTTGTGTTTCTCTGAAGCTCAGTTCACAACCAGCTCCTCTGCATTTTCAACAAATAAGAACTCATTAAAAATAATCTGCTGTGATATCAAAAATGAATTCAGTTTAAGGTAGAATGTTATTTTATATTTCTTAGATATTAAATATGAAATGGTAACTCACGTGAGCCACCTTAAAATCACTATAGTCTGTGATAGGAACTGATGTCATTAGCAAACAGGATGTTAGCCAGTGAATTTGAGGAGACGGGCTGTGCTCAGCTAGTTAAATCCAGCAACATCCACTTACATCTTATGCCTTTTGTGGCTGCCGTCATCAGCGGTTATGCAGTTTTAAGGTAATTTCATGGTTTTAAGTTATAATAAATACATTAAGAATACTTTGTTTTTAATAAATCAGATTGTAATGTACAGTGGTCCTTTGTTTATTGTGGGTGTTATGTTCTAAAAATAACCCGCAATAGTTGAAGTCTGCAAAGTAGCCAACTTTATTTTTTACAATTATCATAGATGTTTTAAGGCTGTAAAACCCGTCACTACACACTTTATTCACTTTTCTCACACAGGCACGAACATTTTCACTTTTCTCTCTTGTTTAGACACTCTCAAAGTTCAAACCTTTGTAGAAAAATAAATCCAGTATTATAAAATAAAACCAAAAATCAAACCCTCTTTTCAGGTCCAGAACATGGGAATAGAGCACCTGCGAGAGAATTCAACATCAATTAATCATTAATAAATCAATGAATCAGAAGTTCAAGATTTTGTGCGATAGCTATCTTCCTCTGGCTTTTGGGTGCTACCGCAGGTGCCTTTGATGGTGCAAAACGTGTTGGGGAGAAAAGTACAGAAATTTAGACTTACACTGCAAGCTATCAATGTAGCGATTCTGTACTGTACAGGAGAGACAGGAGGAGATTGACAATGGTCTACAGCTGATCAGGACACAGAACACAATGCGTTGTAAAAAACAAACAAACATTTTACGCTAGGTGACAAATCGTCAACATATTATGTTTTCGGGCACCCAACACGTTCCTACATGATGACATTGGAAACTGAGGACATATGAGAACCGTTTGGAGTCAATCTACACATGCGTCGGGATGTTACGCCTCAGGAGTGAGAATGGGCTCAAAATTGCACACAAAAAAATCCACAAAACAGCAAGGCTGCAGAAGTTGAAACACGTTATAGCAAGGGACCACTGTATACATTGTTGGGTTTACATTTAAAGGATGTTTCCAGGGTGAAACCAATGTTCAGTCTGTTGTTTGGGGTTGACAATATTTTCAGTTACACGCCACTCTCAGTATATTTTAGGAGGATATGCTGACTTGTAATAAAAAGTAGTTATTATATTTTCATTGTTTTATCTGTACATGGTGAATATGTAAAAGTGATTATGCCTTGTACTGTATGGTGCAGTTTCACCTTCCCCTGTGTCATTAAACCTGTGAACAGATGGAATCGTGTCATCAGTCTTAATGTAAGGAAGGAGTTTAGCTGACTGCCAAATCATAGCAGAGCCAGTAGAGAATCCAAATGTTTGATTTCTCTTTCTTTTAATTTTGTAGTTTTTGCTTTTATTTTCTCTCTAACCCCTTAAAACAGAATGCCTTATTAAGTCATGGAGCATCTACACTAAAATCTCCTAGAACTCTTCATTGATGGTGATTTGTGGCCCTCTGCGGATGAGAAGATGAACTGCATGATGTCAGTTTAAAGGCAAGTCTACCACACATCTGTTTGACCGTCACCAGTTAATCTGTGACACGAGTTAATCTGCCGGCATTGTGGCTCATCTGGAAAAGCAGGTGTATCGATAGACATGATAGGTTTATATAAACATGCGGTTTTAAGCTCTAATGACTCAAATGAAAGCTAGTTCAGATAATGTTTCAAAAGACCTACCCAGTGTTACCAAGTGGACTGACTTCCACAGTGAATACTGCTGTGTGCAGACAGGGGACAGGTGTGCAGCTCACACCAGAATACAGTTTGTGGGGTTCATCTTGACTTGTGCAAGCATGTTTGTTTGTTTGTTTGTTTTTTAAAAGATGTTTATGCACCATCTTTCTCTCCAGCAGGTGGCAGTGACATCTTCTTTATAAATGTAATACTTCAGTTGAGGCTTTTAAAGCAGATTGACAACTTATTATATATATAAAAAAAAGATGACACCTTTCCCCCCTGCAGATATAGATCTCATGTGGCACTCATCTGTACTACTTTCAGCCATTTTAGTCTTTTTTTTGTTTGTTTCTAGAAAATATTCAGGGATTTTAAGAGACCAGGACAAAGAAAGAAAAAAAGATATAAAGGTTACTCAGAGACAGCCACCTGCTGGTTGTTGGAATTTGCCCCAGGATTCTGCAAATAGTGTAATAGTAAAAAAATATATAGGAGGGGTCATATATGGTGCATATAAGGATCCGAGCCCAGAGTGTACCTTGAGAGATGGTTTTTGGCACAAACCTGAGATTTGTAATAGGGTGGTGGGAAAGTTCCTGATTTAAATCCTGGCTGAGGCCTTTCTGTGTGGAGTTACGATGTTTCTTCCATGTTAATCAGTCCAAAGACATGCATGTTAGGTGTATGTGAGGCAAATTAATACTTGAAGTGTATAGAATAAAGTGCTGTATACATTTTTAAGATACTAATATTATAAAGCAACTGAGTTGCCATTTCACTGAGTGTGGGAAATGCATCCACATACCACAGATTTAAGGTTTCTTACCACTGCTTTGAATACACAGACTAGTTTGTAATAATTTTAATATTTTTTTTGCTCCGTTAATTCATATTTAATTAAACCTGATCATTATAGATGAGGAGAATCTTTTAATACAGCAGTGAGAACAGTGTGTATAAGTTGTGCTTTCAGTGAAATGTATTCAAACGATTAAGACTGTTGTGTTTTCATGTTTAAGTTAAACACAATGTTGTGTGATAGTAGATGTTTTTCTGCTCCCTGCTCTGAAGCATTAACTAAAATTTCATCTGTGGTGGAATTTTCTGTTAATAAAGTCTGCAACACAATCAGCTGTGAAATTACTGCATGCAGGAGAGCAAACACAGACATCAAACAGTTATACAGTCAGGAGAGCTCTAAAACAGAAGTGGAGCTTCCATTCCTTTATGCATTCCAAAGAAGAGGGAAGGAAGTCATAAGCTGATCATAACACATATCACGCGGCTCGCTATGAAACCTAATGGAACAATGGGTATGCTGTTTCATGCCTTTGGCGTTATCAGCAGCTGCAGAGGGAGTTGTTTTCTTCAACTACTGAGGCTTAAACATGTTCATCTAGTTTTAGAAACTTCCACTGAACAGTCTATTACAGTGTTTCAGTGTTTCATTTGCATAAGTATTTAACACTGTAAACAAGAAAAATGGAAATTTTCCATTACAGATCACTGGTTTAGTAATGAGA